ACTAGAAAATATGAGAGGGAGAAATGCAGAGGAGCGATTTTAAGAAGGCAAAATATGCATTAGAGGGTGAGAAATATACAGGGTATTTTTTAGGGATAGAGAAAAGGAGACAAAGTAAAACATATATAAACTAAATAAATACAAAAGAGGGCAAAACAACAAAAGATTACGTAGAGATTTTGGAGAGAGTGCAAGAATTCTATGAAGAGTTATATAAGAGGGGAGGAGTAGACGAGGGAAGTATAGATGAAGTATTAGAAAGCGTAGGGAATATTCTAAATAAGGAAGATGGGGAATGGTGTGATAGGGAGATAGAGGAGGAGGAAGTGAAAGAGGCAATGGGGGGTTGAAAAGTGGAAAAAGTCCAGGGAGTGATGGGATCGGTATTGAATGGTATAAAACATATAAGGAAGGGGTAGCACCCATTTTAGTCGAAGTGTTCAAGGAGATAGAAAGAACAGGGACAGTGCAAGATAGAATGGTAGAGGGAGTGATAGCTTTAGTGTATAAGAAGGGGAATAGGTTGGATATAGAGAACTACAGACCAATCAGTTTATTAAATGTGGATTATAAAATATTGACTAAAGTTTTAGCGAACAGAGTGAAAAGAGTGATAGGAAGTATAGTGCAACCAACACAGAGTTACAGCATACCAGGCAGGGATATAGCGGACACGATAGGGACAGTTAGAGATGTGATAGAGTACATGAAACGAGATAAGAAGGGAGGAATAGTAGTAGGGATAGATTGGAATAAAGCATTCGATAGGGTAGAACACACATATTTATTTAGGGTATTAGAGAAGTTTGGATTTGGGGTGAAAATGATAGGATGGGTGAGGAGACTATACGAGAAGGCAAAAAGTTGTATAAAAATAAATGGAGTGCTAACAGACAAGTTTAAGGTTTGAAGGTCAGTGAGACAGGGATGTTCCCTGTCTGCATTATTGTATGCCATTTCAGTAGAGCCTCTAGCCACTCTAACTAAGAGAGATAAAAGAGTAGTTGGTATTGAGTTGCCGTATGGAGGGATGTGTACTATAAACCAATATGCGGATGACACTACAATCACAGTGAGGGAAGGAAATAGTGTAAAAAGAGTTTTAGAGATAGTGAAGAGGTATGGGAAGGCATCAGGGGCAAAAATAAATGTGGATAAATCAGAATTACAGTTTTTCTCAATTGCTTAAACACTATCACCAGGCTTTTGAACTAAAATTTCAAAACCATAATGCCATTTATCAAAAAGCACACCCATTTCCCTAAACTATAAACACTATTCCCCTTTTTGACACATGAATCAGATTTGTTGAACTGTCACTGCAAAACTCTACACACAAATCCCTTCATTTCTCATTGAGCCATAAGCTGGTGTGTGGTGGGCGTTCTGGCGCACTATGGCTGCCATCGCATCATCCAGGTGGATGCTGCACACTGGTGGTGGATGAGGAGATACCCCCTGACAATGTAAAGTGCTTTGAGTGCCTAGAAAAGCGCTATATAAATGCAACGAATTATTATTATTATTATTATTATTGCCTAGACCATGTTGTCATTTAGAAAGCACTAACATTCAATATAGTTCACTCAAGTCAGCATAGCTTGAGCTCAATTAGCACACAGTTACCCACGTGGAAACACTAAGAGTCAAAATTTATCACACACCAATCAGAACCTTCAATAGATAGATAAAAGAGCCCAAGTCAGTTTATTCAGTTTTGGAACAATGGATGCAGAGAGATGTGATTGAAAAGGTCGAGGACACCAGAGAGGAGGAGGAGGAGGATGAGCAAGAGCAGTAAGGAGTGGAGGAAGAGGTGAAGGAAGAGGGAGAAGAGCATGGACAGAATCCTCCGGCTGCATGCCGCTGCCTATCTAGATGACATCATTATTTACAGTCAGGATTGGCAGCGTCATATGGCGCATCTGCGGGCTGTCCTACAAGCTCTGAGGGGGGCCGGGCTGACGGCCAACCTGAAGAAGTGTGCAGTTGGGCGGGTGGAGGTCAGGTATCTGGGCTTCCACTTGGGTCATGGACAGGTGCGTCCCCAAATTAGTAAGACGGCGGCAATTGCGACCTGTCCGAGGGGAAAGGCTGCTCTGTGTGGCGGGCCACTCTTACACTCTCCTGACTTTTCTCTCCCCTTCTTGTTGCAGACAGACGCGTTGGACAGGGGGCTGGGAGCCGTCCTGGCCCAGGAGATAGAGGGTGAGGAACAGCCGGTGCCGAGGGGGGCGTGGTTCAGCGAAGTCTGCAGCGGGAGAGAGGGGCAGGAGAGGAGCGGTGAGTAAGTAGGTCAAGTGCAAAATGATGAACACCTGTGTCTGATTGCAGTAATTGGTCTGGAGAGACCAATTAAAAAGGCAGACTGGAGAACGTGGAGGAAAGAGAGAGACGGGGACTCGTGGGCATCGCTCAGCCAGAGAGAGAAAACCTGAGGAACTGAATTTATGCCATTGGCTGTGTGTGAACGCGCTGGAAGCGCTACTTTTGTTTTTGTTCAAGTTTGAGTTATTAAATAAAGATCCACGAGTCTCCAAACGCCCACCTGGTTCACTTCCTTCCTTCCTCCTTACGAACTGTGGTACACTGGTGCCGAAACCCGGGAAGGAAGTGATAACGCCACCGCCATCATGTCATCTCCGTCAAGTT